CAATGAGTAGGTCCAACAGCCACGACCTTGAAAGCCAGCTCCCCTGCCGGCCTAGCCACGTCACCTGGTCAAGCCCTTTCACCCGTTTTTCCACCAATCAAATGGGAGTAGTGTCCCTGACCTCCCAGAACTATTCTAAGCAATAACACAGAGCAACGGCCACACCTGTCAGTCTAACTGGCCCAGAGTCCAGAAAGTGTACTCTATGGGGCCTGAGTGATCAGGACACTCCACAATCAAAACAAACAGATGTACCCAAAGAAAGGCTTTTCAGCTTCTCTTAAAAGATCTGGTGAGCCGGGCTGGGGTCAAGTTCCCACCGTATTCCCTTCTCCTCCTGCCTGCTTCGTTCATTTCTCCCAGGGGTCCACAAGCTTTTTCTGTCAAGGGCCAGCAAAGTTAACATTTTAGGTTTTGCGAGACTGTCATTAAATATTCTTACTTCAGTTGTTGGGGGTTTTTTAATAGATCCTTCAGAAACATACAAAGCTCCCTTTCGTGGTTTAAACAGGGGCCACAGGCCTGCTCTGGCTCACAGACCATCGTCTGCCCATAGACCCTAATTTATGCTCTTATCCTCTCCCCAGCTGCCCCCAAGGTCAAACATTTGAGTCTGTCCACACAGGTTCACGCAGAGCTCGGTACCCGGTAAACGTTCAATACAATGACAGCACGCAGGAGCATCTTATGGGCACCACTGGAATGGGAATGCCCCTCCGGTGTTACTAACTTCCTGGGGTGTCACTCCAGCTTGACACTGAAGGTCCTAGAGCCTGGGCACGTGACAAACTCTTCTGTCCCTCCCCCCCCCCCCCCCAGCTGCCAGGGGGCTACCATACGACTGTGACTGGAGGAAGTCACAAGAGCTCCGGGTCTATGGCAGCAGGCCATTCTCCACCTTGTTTTTACAAGGGGTTTTTTCTCTGGGGTTTCCACACCCTGGCACGCCCCCCACAAACTGAAACGTAGCCCCTATCAGAACCAGTCCGGCTGTACATCGCTTCCTAGCCAAGGGGGCGGGGAGAGTCCACAGAACCAGGCAAACTGACTCACACTGACCAAGAAAGAAAAGTGACACAGTCATCTCCAGAAAGGACCCGTGGGCCTGAGGAACTGAGAGTCTGTTCTGCTCTCTGCCTTGGCCGCCCCACAACGGGCTTCCCGAGAAGCTGCCTCCTTTCAAAGGGAGGGCTCCCTGCATCCAAGAACTCCCGCGGCCTTGCCAAAGCTTCCTCAAGGCCCGGGACGTCTGCACCTCTGCCCAGGGAAAACGGCCTGGTTTGGTAGCTGCCATTTAGCCACTGCCATGGACACAGGCCAGGGTGACTTCAAACAGCGAGGAGGGGTGGGGAGGGTTATCGTTCACTGCAGGGTGACAGGGACAGGGCCTTCTGCAGCTGTCATCTTTCTCACGTGGGAGGGTGTCGAAGTCAAGGAACAGGGTTGTATGTCGGCTACCCACACCCATCTCCCCAGCCCCACCCCGCACCCCGACCTGAGGTGGAAGCTGCAGCCGCGGGGTCCCTCTTCTCTCTGCCAGGGGTGCGAGGCGGCAGCTGGACGGCCCTGCAGCATAAGAGGCTCCCTCCTAGAAAAGCCAGCTCTTCATCACTCCATACCAATACCCACGCCGTCGTCGATAACTTCTATAGGAATATTTACTGTTTACCACGAGATATCCCTGCTCCGCACTCCCATGGTCCGCTTCACCCAAATTTCTGGGCCCCAAGTGGTATCATTCCCGTTGCTGAGGGGGAAAGCGAGGCTGCGCCCCGGCAGGTGCAGCTGGAGGTGAGGAAACAGGCTCAGGGAGGCGAAGTGGCTCATTCAAGGCCTCACAGCCAGTGACCCACGCCAGTCAGACCCCGCGTTCAGAACCCTTGCCAGCACCCAAGCATACCTCAGGCTCACCTCCCACCTGAGCAGGGGGAGATTCGGGTCTTGGCCAACCTCCCTGTCCCTACCCACACACAGATTTGAATCCCAGGGGGTCTGAAATCACACGTAGCTCACAGGACCCTGCCTCACCAGAGACCGGTGAGCAGAACAGGGCTTCTGCCACCTTCTCATCTGGCCAAAGCAATCAGGTCCCAGAAGGGTCCAGACTGGAAAATGTGGAGGCCAGGGAAGGAAGCTCATCCCAAGACAAGGCCTAAAGCTCCTAGCAGGCCCCAAGTGCCCCTGGTCCACCCAGCCGCCGCATCCCCGCACATCCTCACAGTGGCTGGACCATCTTTGACTTTCTCCAAGGGACTGCGGGCTAGCAGTCTACACCCGGAGGGCCAGGCCTGCTCGCAGATCCAGGAGCAGGGTGCACCCCCACACCTCAGCCCTGGTACTCTACACTCCCCCGGGACACTTCAGAGCGACCCCTCCCTGTGCGCCCCCCTCTCCATGCCTGCTCAGGAACCAGTTCTGCTTCACCCTGCACAATGACCCAGCCAAGTCTGAGGTCACCGCCAGGCCCAGCCTGTAATGGGAGCAGGTGCTACCACCAAAAAAGTATTAGTTTATTGAGCAAACACATGATATGCCACAAAGTCCTGCTATTACCCCCATTCTACCGATAAACACACTGAGGCACAAAGACAGATACTAGTAGGGCACGGATCTAGTCCATGTAGCAGACCCTGAAAATATATGTCCGAGCCCTAACCACCCCCTTAGGGCTCTCAAAGATAAAATTGTTCTGGATTTAGAGTGAGCCCTAAATCCAGTGAGAGGGCTTTTCTTATAGTAAAGACAAAGAGACACAGAGGGGAGGCCATGTGAAGACAGAGACAGAGACTGGAGTTCTGTTGACAAAAGCCAAGCAAGGCCTAGATCCAGAAGAAGCTGCTCGAGGTAGGAAGAGATTCTCTTCCAGGGCCTCCGGAAGATGTGTGACCCTCCCAACACCTTGATTTCAGACTTCTGGCCTTGAACTGTAAGAGAATATATTCCTTTTGTTTTAAGCCATCACGTGTGGCATGGCAGCCCTGAGGAACGAACAAAACCAGGGTTCTGGCTGACTCCAGAACCCAGGTTCTCAGCCCCACATCAATGTGACTTGAGCATCAAGGGGGAAACATTCTTTCAGACCCCTGAGACTGTATCATCCCTGACTGAGGATCTCAATCTGAGAAATGCGGACTTTCCCCCTTTCACAAATGCCTCAGTTACGAATTACTTCTAAAAGACAATGTTATCTTTATAACTAGTAACAACATCGAGATTACCCACAACACAGAAACACAGAATGTAAAAACTCTCCTGGAGGAAGGTGTTAAGCTTAGGAGACACCAGGTGTGGGGGGACGCCTGGGTGGCTCAGTTGGTTGAGTCTGCCTTTGGCTCAGGTCATGATCCCAGGGTCCCGGGATCGAGTCCCACATTGGAGCCTGCAGCTCCTCCGGCTGTTAGTGCGTGCTCTCTCTCTCTCTCTCTCAAATAAATAAATAAATAAAATCTTAAAAAAAAAAAAGAAGACACCAGGTGTGGACTATATCAGCACTCTCTGTACTATGTCCCCAATAATTCTATAAATCAAAAACTGTCCAAAAATCAAAAGAAGTTATTTACAAAAGAAAAACCAACTGTCCTGGAACTGCCTTGAGGATTAGCCCCGGGACCCTAGTTGGAGAAACGCTGCTCATCTTTATTCTTTATTAATGCTTGCCAAACGAATGGCCATGCTTATCATCTGGGAGATCCTGCTGAACTTAAGATAGAGCTTAAGTGCCTGTCCTGAGTTCTGACGCCCACCTGGGAAACCCTTCTCTCCGCTCATTTGGTCCCAGAAAACCCAGCTCTGCCCCAGTAAAAAGAGCTGTGATACTTGGGAGGGAGGCACAACTCCACAAGTCTGGGTGTTCCAAGTAGAGGTGCAGGGAGAACCCTGTGTGAACCAACTGCTCTAGATACTTTCCTTTGGCCCACCCCCTTCCCAAAGTGGCAAAAAAAAATTCACGCAGGCCAAAGCCAGGAAAGGCGTCCTCCGCGGCGCCCAGAGCATCAGTGCAAGAAACCCTGAGACAAAGCTGAATGAAACAGAATAGCAAAATGTGAACAAGCAGTCAGGAACCAGAACAGATTAAAAAAGAGTAACAGAGAAAGAAAAAGGATGAACTACAAAGACTCAGGGGCCTTGGCAAACACATTTGTGATTTTTTTTTTTCCACTGAAATGTCAGTTTTGAAACTAGCTTCTGAAAATGTAACGAGCTTCTCACATCCCCAAAAAGAAAGATCGGAGGACCGTGGCGAGGGCGGAGGCTGTGTTACCTCTTACTTCGGAGCCGGACATCAAGAAGGAGCCCTACCCTTCCACGTTTCCACCAGGAGCACATCCAGCGGCTCGCACCACCCGGGCAGGGGCCCTCTCCCCAGGTCTAGAAGTTTCCCACACGGGGATCCAGAACGCCAAAACGCTCCCGATGGGTGGAACCAGGTCCTCCAGGCCACCCCAGGCCGGGCACCACTTTCCAACTGTCCTTAGCAGTCCTGGGAGCCCCGAGAGATGTCCAAAGGCTGCCCACACCCCTCCCTCCCTCCCCTAGGGCGGCCACACCCGCCCCGGGGACTCCCACCTCTCCCATACCCCAGGCCCCCTTCCCTCCCACCCAGCCCCCAACCCCCCACCCCCACCCCCGGCTACGAATTCACCTTCCCGGGTCGGACCCCACTTCCTGCCCACCCCCGCCCAATCTCAGGGCCCTCACTCCCCCATTTCCCGCTTCCCACCGTACTCCCGGCACCTCACCTCTGGCCACCACGCACGCCCTCTTTTCCCTCTGCCCCTTGACATCGTTCCTCCACTGCCCTCACTCGGGCGGCCCCCCACTCCCAGCTCCCTCGGCCCGGCGCCACGGACCCCACACCGGGCCCCCACGGCTCAGGGCCCCTCACCCTCGGGGCCCGGGGCCCCTAGCTGCGGCCGCGTCCCTCCCGCCCCGGGTCCCCCGCCCGGCCGGCCTCGTGGGCAGCCCCCGCGCTCAGCCCAGCCCCGAGGCCCCGCACTCACGGCTGTAGAGGGCGATGCCCGCCGCGTCCGGGCCGGCGCGCACCTCGAGGCGCAGCGCCTGCTGCTCCGCGTGCCGCTGGATCTCGCCGTTCGCGTCGCCGATGGTGAGGAGGCGGGCGCCGGGGAACACGGACACGGCCGCGCAGGGCCCCGCGCCGCCCGGGACCGCCGCCCCTGCGCCGCCGGTGCCCGGCCCCGCCGCCGCCGCCGCCGCTGCCATCTTAGATCCGGCTCCAGGCCCCGCCGCCGCCGCCGCCGCCGCCGCCGCCGCCGCCGCGCCCGGGCCCAGGCCGCCGCCGCTGCCGCCGCCGCCGCCGCCGCTGCCGACGCGCAGGCCGAGGCCAAGGCCGAGCCGGGCAGCGCCGCCTGCCGGCCACGCTCCGCCTCGCCACCACTGCCGCCGAGGCCCGGCCCCGTGGCGCAGCGCCCCCTGCTGGCCGCCTAGGGCACCGGGAGGGAGGATGCGGGGGGACGGGGCCGCCCCGCCCCGCGCGAACGGTCGCGGCTTTGTGAGGTGGTTCCGCGGCCCACGAACGCTGGGGCCGGGGCGTGAGCCGGGGGGCGGTGCTCGGCCGCGCGGACACGCCCCTGGGCCTGGGTCCCGCCCCCCAGCCCGGCGCTGCTCGAAAGGCCACGCTTTGTACCGCGGTGCCAGAGCCGAGACGTGGGGAGGGAGGGGACAGGGGCGGCGGTGCTCGGCCTCGTGGACACGCCCTGGGCCACGCCCCGCACAAACGGTCGCGTTTTGTGAGGCGGCTCCCCTACCCGGAAAGGTGGAGGCGGGTCTGACGCCCGAAGGCTCCGACGCTCGTCTGCGGCTGAGCTCCGCCCCTTGGCCCTGCCCCGCTTTGTGAGGAGGCACGCGGGGGGCGGGGTCCAGCTACGACGAGGCCCCGCCCCTGTACCCGTCCTGCTCCCTCCCACTGGATGTCGCTTTGTGAGGCGCCGGGCTCTCAGGGAGGGCCTGCGCGAGGGGCGGGGCCAGGTCCCGGGACACGCCCCCAGCCTGTGCCCCCCCCCCCCCCCAGCCCTCCAGAAAGGAAAATCAGTTTGAGGAGGGGCTCAGCCTCTGCCCTCGACTTGAATCCGTTGGAAGGTCCCCTCTCCTAGCACTCAGCCTCTCCTTATCTCTTTCCCCATCGTCTCCGCCCCCTCCCCCCATTGCCCTCCTCCTCCATCCTTGGCCATCTATTCCCCTACAAAAAATTCTAGGATCCCTCTCTCTCGGCCCCTCCCTTAGCCCCTCCCTTCCCCCCCCCCCCCGCGATGACTGACCAATGAATCCTGCAGAGCAGGGTCAAGTGCCCCTTTCTACAGGGGGGCGCGTGCACACGCACATGCACACACACACACACACACACACCTATCTTCCCCCTGTCACTGCTTCAGGGCGTCATTCTCTTCTAGAGGGTACAAAAAGGATTGCGGGGCTTCCCACCTTCTCTAGCTCCCACTCTTCTCTGACCTCCTCATTGACGCCCCCATCATTCCACTTACTATACTCACCAATGCAAGGACTTTAGCAAACACCACGTGACACTGTCCCCCCTCCTGTACCCCCACCGGCTTCCCCATATACTCCCTTGAATGCATGCACCTGAGGGGTACCTCTCCCCTCCCCCTAGGCATCCAGTGATTAGACCCCAGAAATCCTGGGCTTGAAGGATTACACTCCATAGAGGCCGTGGGAACAGCTCAACACGTGTTATAATTAATAACTTAGGCATGCCAGCAGGACAGACTTACAGAACATACCCCCAGGTACCCTATGCTCCAAAAACCCAGTTGGGTTGGTCAAGTCAGATGTGGAAAGGGGAGGAGGACATTGGAGGGGTATGTGGAGGACTCAGACCTCTTATGGCCCAATTGGGGGCCACAGAGATCCTAACATCTCCTTCCCACGTGGTCTGAGAAGCTGGGAAGTCAACAAGAGTCTTCCTGCTTTCTGTCCAACCTCCAGGACAATGTCTGTGCCCCCTCTGCTTACTCCTGCTTTTCTGTAAGGAAGGTCCCAAGGCCAAGGATTCCCTTCATCTCCCCTGTCAATTCCCTGAAAAAGCGGCAGCCAGAAACCCCAAAGTAGCAGGAGGGACTTCAGGCCCTCAAGAGAGGGGGCTGAATGGAGAGTGCACAGACATAGAGGGGCCCCCGATCCTCAGCCTCACTGGCAGGCCCGGAAAGTGCTGAATTCAGGGGGCTCAGGCGAGGATGATGTGGAGGTGGGCCTTTTCCGGGGCCCAGAGTTGCCAGGTGTCTCGGCGGCGCCTGAGAAAGCATCCAGAGTAGCTGCATCTTCTTCTGGGTTCATTTTCTTTGTCCATGGAGGAAAAACAGAGAACAGGGTGATTTGAGGTTTCAGGACCTAGGGTCTCCCTACATTCTGAGTCTGAGACTCCCTCAGTCCATCAGGTCTCATTTCACCCCCATACACCACCCCACAGCTTCAGGACCCAGATCCTGCCCTCTGTCCTCCTGCCTTTCTGTATGCTGAGAAGGGAAGCAGACAGCGTGGGTTCAAATCTCAGCTCCACCTTGTCCAACTGAGTAACTTAACCCCTCTGAGCCTTATTTTTCCCTTTTGCGCAATGCGGAGAATGCTCATATACCCCTCCTAGAGTTGCTACAAAACCTAAAGGAATTAAACAGATCAAGTGTCTGGCACGTAGCAAGCACTAATAGTTAAGTGAACAAAGTTATCACCATTATCTCTTCCCCTCCCCCACCTTGTCGCCCTGTTCTGGGCTCCCACAAAACCTGCTTCAAAAGTCTACCCTCTCCTCCACCATGGACGCTCCTGCCCCAAATTGCAGTCAAGAAGAGATGAACTTGATAAAACTGAAGTTTGGTGGGTGAGAGCAGGCTGGGGTTCCACCCCAGTCCTTCACCTCCCTAGCTGGACCATCCCAGTAAGGCCCATAATTAGCTTCAGTGTCTTTGTCTACTTAAAAAAAATACATATATATATATATTGGGGCACCTGGGTGGCCCCGCCGGTTCTGTGCCTCATTTTTGATTTTGGCTAAGATCATGATCTCGGGGACTAGGATCCAGCCCCGCGTCCAGCTCCCCGCTCAGCGGGGAGTCTGCTTGAGATTTTCTCTCCCTCTGCCCCTTCCCCTGCTCACACATGTGCACTCTCTCAAATAAACAAAATCTAAAAAATTTAAAAAATGTCAACCCCACTTCATAAGGCATAGAAAGTGAATATCAGACCCTCAGTAGGGTAACACAATACAAGCTGGAGAACGATTAGCTGCTTCACTTTTATTTCAGCCAACAGCACAGCTTCTAATGCTTCAAAAAGAAACTAGAATTGAAAGCAGGGACTCAAACAGATATTTACACACCCATGTTCATAGCAGCACTATTCATTATATCCAAAAGGTGGAAACAACTGAGTGTCCATCAACAGATGAACAGATAAAATGTGGTATATAGGGGCGCCTGGGTGGCTCAGTCGTTAAGCATCTGCCTTCAGCTCAGGTCATGATCTCAGGGTCCTGGGATCGAGCCCCGCATCGGGCTCCCTGCTCGGCGGGAAGCCTGCTTCTCCCTCTCCCACTCCCCCTGCTTGTGTTCCCTCTCTCGCTGTGTCTCTCCCTGTCAAATAAATAAATAAAATCTTTTTTTAAAAAGTGGTATATAAATGCAATGCAATACTATTCAGCCTTCAACAAGAATAAAATTCTGACACCTGCTACAACATGAACAAACCTTGAACACATTATGCTAAATGAAATAAGCCAGGCACATGGGGCGCTTGGGTGGCTCAGTAGGTTAAGCATCTGCCTTCGGCTCAGGTCCTGATCCGGGATGGACCTCCGCGTGGGACTTCCTGCTCAATGCTGCTTCTCCCTCTCCCTCTGCCCCTCCCCCCTGTTTGTGCTCTCTCGCGCTCTCTCTCTCTCTCAAATAAATATATTTTTTTAAAGCCAGACACAAAAGGATGAACATTATATGGCATCATTTCTACATAAAATGTCCAGAATACACAAATCCACAGAGAGAGAAAGGCACATGCTGGGTGCCAGGGGCTGGGGTTTGTTAAGAATGAGAAGTTAGGGGGCGCCTGGGTGGTTCAGTCGTTAAGCGTCTGCCTTCGGCTCAGGTCATGATCCCAGGGTCCTGATCGAGCCCCGCCTCAGGCTCCCTGCTCGGCAGGAAACCTGCTTCTCCCTCTCCCACTCCCCCTGCTTGTGTTCCCTCTCTTGCTATGTATCTATCTGTCAAATAAATAAATAAAATCTTAAAAAAAAAAAAAAGAATGAGAAGTTAGTATACAGTGGGGACAGAGTTTCTTTTGCAAGATGAAGTTCTGGAGCTAGATGGTGGTGATGGTTGCACGAGGTAAATGTACTTAATGCCACTGAACTGGACACTTAAAAATGGTCAATTTTGGGGCGCCTGGGTGGCTCAGTTGGTTAAGCGACTGCCTTCGGCTCAGGTCATGATCCTGGAGTCCCGGAATCGAGTCCCGCATCGGGCTCCCTGCTTGGCAGGGAGTCTGCTTCTCCCTCTGACCCTCCTCCCTCTCGTGCTCTCTGTCTCTCATTCTCTCTGTCTCAAATAAATAAATAAAATCTTAAAAAAAAAAATGGTCAATTTTATGTTACGGATATTTTACCATGATGGGGGAAAAAAGAAACACCTAGAAAAGATCCCATTAGAATTTACTGTGAAGGAAAGGAAGCATGATACTGTGGATAGCATACTATCATTTGTGTTAGACAATGTTAGAAAGGGTGAAGGTATACACCCCTTATTTCCACTTTTGCTTGCATTTCCAAGAAGCTCCTAATGCTGGTGGCTATCTGTGTGTGTGGAGGAGGAGACCAGTGAGTGAACAGGGGTTAGTGACAGAAGAATGCTTTACTGGATATATAATTTTGACATATGGATGTATTTCATATTTAAAAAAAATTTTTTTAAGTAGGCTCCATTGCCAACATGGGGCTTGAACTCTCGACCCTGAGATTGAGTCACATGCTCTACCCACTGAGCCAGCCAGGTGCCCCCCCGCCCCCGGCCAGGTGTTTTTGGTTTGTTTTTTTTAAAGATTTTATTTATTTACTTGAGAGAGAGACACAGCGAGAGAGGGAACACAAGCAGGGGGAGCGAGAGAGGGAGAAGCAGGCTTCCCGCAGAGCAGGGAGCCTGATGTGGGGCTCGATCCCAGGACCCTGGGACCATGACCTGAGCTGAAAGCAGACGCTTAACGACTAGCCACCCAGGTGCCCCAGGTTTTTTTAATTAAAAAAAAAAAATAAACACATATATAGTCACAAGGACTAAGATACTTTTTAAATTTTTCTCCTTGACTGTTTCCACTTGTTTCATTTTAAATGTCTTTTTTTAAAAAAGGGAAAAAGGAAAAATCCCCAGGGTAGTGCCTTGAGCAGCACGTCTTCTCACAGAAAGTTTTAGAATATTTGCCCTGCCTGCCGGATTTGGGTTTTTTTTTTCTTTTTTTTTTTTTTTTTTTAATTTTATTTATTTATTCATGAGAGACAGAGAGAGAGAGAGGCAGAGGGAGAAGCAGGCTCCCAAGGAGCAGGGAGCCCGATGCGGGACTCGATCCCAGGACCCTGAGATCATGACCTGAGCCGAAGGCAGACGCTCAACCATCTGAGCCACCCAGGCGCCCGGGTTTTTTTTTTCTTAACAGCACAGGATTTGTTCCCGGAACTGAGACCGCCCAGGGCTGAACTGGCCAGCGGGGCCAAGCTCCTTCCTTCCCACATTCGTATACAGTTTAAATTTCCTTGCTCCTCTCTCCAGAACTCCAGATGCGCATCTGCACCTGCCCTTGGGCATCGCCGGGTAAGGTGGTCCCCCCACGCCTGCTGTTCCCCAGGACTCCCACGCGCCTCCCTCCGCCTCTCCTTCCGCCCATCATCCAACCCAAAATCAGTGCGGTGTTTCCTGTCCCCTGAATCGATCTGACCTGCATCTGTTCGCTTCTTCCACCTCCGCTGCCAACACGCTGGACCAAACCACCTACCGCCTACCCCTTAGCTTGCCTGGACCAGCACAGTCGCCTCTGCCCGGGTAACTACTCCCCACCCCCGGAATACACCCTCACATTCCGGTCGGCCCACGCCCCCCAAGTCTGTCCTCCCCGCAGCCGCCAGAGGGCGCGGGTGAGCACCTGAATCGGTCACCTCTCTCCCTTGCTTGGAACCCTCCATGGCTCCCATCACACTTGGGGCAACAATCAAAGTTCTCCGCGGGGCTCCCCTCGACTCTTCACTCGGCTCCACTCCTGTTATACTAGACGGTGCCAAGAACGTGTCCCGAGCCTGGGGCAATCTTCCGTAGCTATCCCCTGCTTGTTGGCCATCTCTGAGACTTCCTGGCTCTCCCATCTAAGGGAGAAGTGAGCTTCCCTCTCACTCCTACCCCATGTGGCATCGTCTGTCTACCACACCCCCCGTAGAAATTAGAAAGCTCTGAAGAATTAAAGGCCTTGTCCTGTTCTTGTCCCAATGCCCAGGAAGGATGTGTTGAACCAGCCCAATCCTCCCCCATTATGATGCCCTAGGCACACCGGACTCCCCACCCGGCTCCTTGACTGCAGTCCCAAAGTGCCCACTTGTCCAAATGGGACATCGGAGGCCACCTCGAGGGGGGCCACCTGCACCCCAAACCTGTCCCCTACTCTGGAGAGGAGCCGGATGAACATTTCCTTGATCCATGGTTTCCAAGGCTCATCTATCTCTAACTTAATAAAATAATAATAATTCATCATCATCATCATCATCATCATCATCATCTACCCAAGATGCAGCTGTGCAGAGGAGTCCCATAGACCAGGTTCGAATCTCCTCCCCAACACCGTGTGATCTGGGAGAACAAAACCTCTTGCAAAGGGGCAGAATGTGATGAGACCCTCCCCACTGAAAGAGAAACGCAGAACTTGGATATTTAAACTGAAGTCCCTGAAACTGAACATAAAAACAGGTTTTTCTTTACCAGGAGGGAACTACAGTTTGCATCAGACTGTTACAAAGCACGTGACCCCACCGGGTCACCCTGAGTCCCCTGTCACCATTCTATAGGGTTGGCCCCACTGAGGGCAAAGGTGGCCCGGGGATCCTGCCCATTGCCACCCGACGGCCTGGACATGGCTGCCTCCCATCCCCTGACAATTTCCAGAGCCAACTCTCAGCTCACAAACAAATCCCTGCTCAGTGATTCTGGGCTTTTCCCAGCACCGCCCCCCCCCCGCCCCCCCAAGCTCGGAGACATCAGGTCGGCCCAGCCTGATGGTGGTCTCCCGGAGGTTAGGACAGTCAGCAGAAAATCGGGACCAAGAAATGCAATGACTTACCATGGAGATGGCAAACAGAGAGTTATCAAAGGTCATATCTGAAATAGAGAAAAGAAAGCCAAGCGCCAGTATAAAATCCCTGCTCACTGCCCTCTGGGGGCGCTCCCCCCAGAGCCACAGGCCTCAAGTCAACCGTGAGGAAGGGCTTGGGACCCATTTCCCAGCATGCTTCCCTCCCTTCCAGCGCATTCCGCAGGGTGAACCGTTCCCAGCTGTAAATTGAAGGGTGTCCTTTTTCTGCCCAGAGCCTTCCCCCAGGGGCCTCTCGCAGCCCTCTGATAAATGGGTTTCTCCTCTCAACTCCCACTTTCAGGAGCACCTCTCAGCTCTTCCACCACCCCAGGCTCTCCCCCAATCGCCTACTCTTCGCCCCCCTACTCTGCTCCTGCCGATCTCTGCTTAAACACCATTTCCTCCCGGGACCGCCCTCCTCACTTCAGACAGGGTCCTGCCGGCCCTGGGCTGTTCCCCCACTGCAGTATGGGCTTGTGGGCAAAGACCACCTGTCTTGGTCATTGAGGGACGCCCCTGCAAATGTTAGCACATAGTAGGTGCTCAATAAAAGTGTGGAACAGTGGGAGCGCCTGGGTGGCTCAGTTGGGTAAGCGTCTGCCTTCCGCTCAGGTCATGATCCCAGGGTCCTGGAATCGAGCCGAAGTGGGGCTCCTGGCTCAGTGGGGAGTCCGCTTCTCCCTCTACCTGCTGCTTCCCCTGCTTGTGCTCTCTCTCTTTCTCTCTCAAATAAATAATCTTAAAAAAAAAAAAAAGTGTGGAACAGTGAAAGAAGTACAGAGAATGGAATTTCTCTGCTTCGGGCCCCTTCCGGAGCATCATGCGGCACAGACTGGCTGCCCCTCGCCCCCTGGTGGAATCCTTCAGGATGACACGTTCTGGATCACAAAGGGGGCTCCATTTAAGGACAGTGCCAGGCAGTCCGTCCCCCGTGGACCTGAGCGTCCAGCACTGGAGGCGAGTATTACATACACACTTGTGTTTTTCTCCCGAGGGGTAAGAAGAATGATAGGGTGCTGAAGGCAGGTAAGTAGAAACACACCGCCTGTCTAGGCAGTCAGGGAAGGCTTCCCAGAGAAGGTGGCCTTTAGACCAAGACCAGAGGGAGGAAGAATGTTGTAGGCAGAGGTCAGAGTGCGCGGAAGGCCGGAGGATGAGGCGAAGAGAGAAGGTGAGAGGTGAAACCTAGCGGTGGGAGGACGGGAGGGTGTGTTCTTGACCCTAAGGGAAGTGAGCGACCTCAGAAGAGGTTCAGTAGCAAGTAATGAGACCTGCTAGAGTTTTGAGGGGGTGAGCCTGCCCTGGCAGGGGATAGGAGTAAGAAGATACACACCTGTGGTGGCGAAGTTGATCTGGACCCAGCAGGATTCTCGTTCTCTACAAAGGGATTTGGGAGAGTGATGACTTGCTGCTCTCAGGCTGGAGGATTGTTCTGGGAAGCCCTGGTTCCAAACTTGGCCTTTACTCCCCACCTGCCTTTGCATCCTCCCTGAGTCCCCGCAGATGGAAATTCTCTTGCAGGAGCCCCACTGCCAGGTGAAGTCGGGATTCGATCCCTGGGGCTGAGGCTAGCTCTATGCCACCAGGCAGTGGAGTGTCCACCCCTCTCAGAGGGGAGAAACTGAGGCCGGGGCCACTGCCTACAGGCTACAAGTTGGGCACTGCACCGCCCCAGAGGGTGCCACTCACCTCTCCCAACTGTGACTTTCTAGAGTATTACAACCATTTGGGGCAGTCATTGGTTAAGGGATGTGAGGACGACGCAGCCACTTGCTCCCTGTGTGACTAAGTTGAGCCTCAGTCTGCTTGTCTATAAAATGGGGCTACTTACAATGCCAGCTTAGCTGCCGTGGACTCCAGCTGCAGTCTCCTAGCACAGTGCTCCCCATACCCTAGGTGCTTTATGAATGGCACCTATTCCTCTTAAGCAGCCCTCCCAACCAGTGGGTGCTGTTTGGAACGGAGACCCCCACCCAGCACGGGAAGTGCCCTTCTGTCCCCAGAACCAGGCCAGGTCTCAGAGTTCTTAACATCCATCAGGAACTTCTGCCCCACACCCCCCATTTGGTATTTCTTTCCCCCAAACCGCCCGCTGAGGATCTCCAGAAACGGTCTCACCTTTTCTTCTGCAAATTTTTTACTTTAACTGGGAACAAAAAAAATAAGTAAGCATTTATTAGATCTTGGTCATGGTTGCATCCTAGTTGCAAAAACAAAACAAAACAAAAAAGACTCCAAAGGCTCCCTCATACATTTGTTGACCCAACCTTGCCTTCTCCTCTGGCAAATGTGCCACTCAACAGGAGAGCTATGGCGAAATCCTCCCCAACCCCCAGCTACATGAGTAATGTGTATTGGTAAAAGCTTCAAACAAGCATGTAAAAAAAATGTTTTTTTCCCCCAAGATTTTATTTTTAAGTGATCTCCACACCCAACATGGGACTCGAACTCACAACCCCGAGATCAAGAGCTGCATGCTCTCCCGACTGAGTCAGCCAGGTGCCCCCTAATATTGTTTTGTTTTGTTTTTTGTTGTCAATTTCAGTGATTGACAGGAGCTGGGGGAGGAGGAATGGAGAGTTAGTGTTTAAAGGGGACAGAGTTTCAGTTGGGGCAGATGACAAAGTTCTGGAGATGGATGGTGGTAATGGTTGCATAACAAAGTGAATGTACCCAATGCTGCCAAACTGGACACTTAAAAATTAAGGGTTAAAATGTGAAACTTTGTGTTATATATATTTTGTAACTTAAAAAAATATATATCTACTTCCCCAGCCCCACCACCAACATTGCACTTCTGGAAGATTTTTTACTGCTAAGTCTTGGAGTAAGACCTCCCCAGCTGTGTGCCTCTGTGCTCCTAAAAAATGGGTGTGGTTGGGGGTTCATTTACACGTCCCAGCGGTCGCACACTGGCAGCCTCTGGGCTATGCCTGTCTCTGCCTTCTGTTACCTTTCCTGACCACCACGGCAACGACCACCAGCCCAGCAAGGAGAAGGAGGGCTCCAGCCAGGCTCAAGGAGAGTGCCAGTATCCAAGTGGGCACTAGAGGAACATGAGAGAAAGAGGCGGGCAGGTTATGGAGTTGTGGGGTGCAGGGTGAAGGTGGGACACCTGTCATTCCTCCAGATTACCTTTGGGGAACCAGCCCTCCCCTGCATACTGCCCAACCATTTGACCTGGGTGTAGCTGGACCCTGGGGATCTGGCAAACCTGTGACCGTGACCGGTCAATTAGCATATTCCTCACCCCCCAGTCATGGTGATTGGTTCAGGGATGGGCATGGGGCCAAAGATGAACTAATGAGAGCTAATTCTGAGACTTGGCTAGACTACTGGGAAGAGAGGATTACTCCTCTGGCCAGCATTACAAAGCTGGTAGGATATCTATCTGGAGCTGCTAGGCACAATTTTGACACCATGAAGAGGAGGTCCTGCCTGAGAATAAGACACAAGAAAGCAGAGCCGAGAGAGGGCAAATAATTCCCGACATCTTTGAGCACCTGGATCCAGCCATGCCTGAAGTTAGCCCTGCAGACTGACTTCAGTTTGGCAAACCAACACATTCTCTTTTGTTGCTGAAGCCAATTTGAGTTAAGTTTCCAGTTACTTGCAGCCTGAGAGTCCTGCTGGCTTCAGCCTCGTACGAGGGGGTCAGATGACATCCACCCCCAGCCCCGTGGTAGACCCTGGAACCCATGCAGAAGTCAGCCACAAAAGCATAAAGCTCCAGCTTCAGAGTTTACTTCTCTGTAAGGGATTTGGCTGCCCCTCCCTGGAGAGAGGGGATCTCTCAGGGGAGACAGGAGGAGATGACCTGATCCCCATGGGGATCAGGAGTTAAGCCAGGAAGGGGAAGGAACAGACACATAGTTGATATTCTCACACTGTCAGCCCTTGTTCATTCATTCATCTGGGGCAGGAGGGCTGTTGTCCCCTCCGTACTCTGAGACCACAGGCCCAAGGTGAGAGAAGGGGCCTTTGATGGTGGAGCTCACAGACACAGACTGCTCTGTCGCCTCAAGGCACTGGCGCTTCTGCGAGCAACAAAGTTCTCTTTAAGTGGGGCCTCTGCTGGCAACAAAGCTTTCTTTGCAACTGGAAAGTTCTGATGGATGGTGATGTAGAGGCTCTACCTGGAGACTGCTCTTTGATCCTGGAGCCCACACCCAACCTCCTGTCCTGAAAAGACCACAGGAAAATATCAGCCTTCCAGGCTTTCTGTCTCACTTCGACGAAGAGCCAAAGTCCTTGATACAGCCAAAGGCCCTGCACGGTCCTCCTTGCCACCTCTGTGCCTTTTTCTCCCCCAACTTTTCTCCTTGTTCACTATGCTTCAGCCCTACAGAGCACCCTGGTGTTCCTCAAACACACCAGACACATGCCAGCCTCAGGGCCTTTGCACAGCCAGCTCCCTCTGCCTGGGACCCTTTCACCACAGATACCCACATGGCTGCCTCCTCATCATTCAGGTCTCTGCTCAAATGTCGCTCCCTCAGAGAGGCTTTCCCGGGCCACTCTCCTCTGTATTTAAAACGACACCCTTCACCAGGTGGTACTTCATCCCTGCCACTTTATTTGTCCCCTGCGGGCTACACTGAATATTTTTTGGACTCCCTGCTTCTCAACTGTCTGCATCCCCTCAGAATGCCAGCTGGGGGAGGGTAGGGACATCGTTTCACTCACTGCTGAAACTGCAGGGCCAAGAACAGTGCCTGGTGCATAGGAGGTGCTCACAAATGTTACGTGGCCGGGGAGGGGGGTGCAGTGAGTGTGGAGGGTTCACGCCTGGATACTGGAGCCCGTGGAATCCCAGCTCTGCTGCCCTGCTAGCTGTGTGACTTGGCCAAGCACCCTCATCTCTTGTGCCTCAGTTTCCTTATCTGCAAAATGGGGGTCATCGCTGAACCCGTCGCATGGGATGACTGTGAGAATTCAGTGAGGAAAGGTGAGTGAGCCCTGGCCAGTTGGGAGGCCTGGTTCGTCCCACAAAGGCTTCCAAGCAGAGGGAACAGCATGAGCAAAGGCTCAGAGGTGAGCCAATGGAGCCGTGGGCCGCGAGGGCCGGTGGGTGGGTCTTACCTGGGAAGGAGACGTGCACGGGCTTGCTGAGCTCTGACAGCTGTGGCTGCTGGTGCTCACCTAGCACACCATACCGGCAGTAAAATGTGCCCCCTGGAGCCTCCCTGCCACCACCACTCAGGTTGAAGGTGACCCCAAGCTGGTCCGCAGGAGCCTGCAGGAGCTGGACCACCTGCCCACCACGGTACAGTGTGAAATTTGCCCCTGGGAAGCCCCCAGGGGCTACGCAGGTGATGTGGATGGGGTCTTCTTGGCTGCTGGGGTGTGGGGGCACCAGCAGGATGGATGGCGCTGGGATTGCCAAGGAGCCTGCAATGCAGGAAAAGGGAGGCAGGCTGAGTGGTTAGAGCAGAGGCGTTTACTGGCTCTGTGGCCTTGGGCAAGTGGCTGAACCCCCTGGGCCTTGGTCTTTATTTACAAGTAGGTAGCCGACCCTACCCCATTGCTATGTTGAGGGGTTCGGGTACTAGGCACCTGGTTGGGGGTTACTACGTTTGAATCATTTTATTATGATCGCAGTGGTTATTACGTAGCGATGCAATTATACCCTTACTACTCAGTCAACAGCACTCACCTGATGCCAGGCCCTGTTTTAGGTGCTGGGGACAGAATGTGAACGAGATGGACAGATTGACATGCCTGCCTCGGGGGGCTAACGTTCTCAAGGAGACAAGAAGCACGGTGCAGCCCATCAGACAGGGTAATGGGAAGCCTGCGCTGGCTGGGGAGGCCATGGAGGGCTTCCCTGAAGAGGCGACATAGGAGGAGCTAGGGGAGAGCATTCCAGCAGAGGGAAGAGCACGCGGGCAGATGCTGGGAGGATGGAAGCGGTGTGGGGGCATCAAGGCGGCCAGGGTGGCTTGGAGGGGATGAGCCAGGGAAAGAACAGGAGGAGCAGAGAGCAAAGGGGTGCTCCTGTTTCCCGGGCTGTCAGGAATTGGGATTTGGGGGGTACAGTTTCCTATAGGAGGTACTCGTGTCTCCCCAGCTGCCCCCAGGATCCTGAGCAGAGTGTCTAGCTCAGGTGAGGTCTACACAAGCCTTTCCTTGTCGGACCTCTAGACCTTTGCCCGGCTTCCCCCCTGCCCCCCAGTAGCTCCTCCTATTTCCCCAGCCCTGAGGGTAACAGCCTGTGGAAGCCAAGCAGGGCTGAGTCATGGGGCGTGGGCACCGCTGACCCCAGCGGGATGGGATTTCTGATATCCTTGATGTGCGGGTGATGAGGAGCTCACTAAGAGAAAGCCATGCTCCTGGGGCATTTCCAAAGCTCTGGGGCAAATCTGTCCACGTTCAGCCTTCTCCAGTGCCTGGGGAAGGCAACCCTGTGCTGCTTTCTGCCCCCAGAGCAGAGGCCAGGTGGGCGGGGTGGGGCTGGTGCAGGGGGAACATCAGGCTCACCGGCTGTAAAGAGCAGGACGGTCCAGGGCATCTCTCCTCCTCAGTTTGGCCAGGAAATCTGGCGGAGGCCAGCGCGGCCCACAGTTCACGGCCAATTCCTCCTGTGAAGCCAGAGCAGGGAAAGGAGAACCAGGGCTGATTTGAACGAATGTTTCCTCACTGGCAGGAAGTTGCACACACACACTCAGCTGCAAAAAGGGACTCTCTCCTCTCCCCACCCCTTCCACAGATGCACATCAGATCCTGGCACCTCACTGCACCTTGGTGGCCACAGTTCTGCAGAGATGGGAGGAGGGACACATTGGCTACGATGGTCAGGGTTGCGTGCGTGTGTGTGTGTGTGTGTGTGTGTGTGTTTTCTCCCTATGAAGAGAATTTCTGGCTGGCATGAGGAAGGGACTCTGGGCTTTTTGGGAAAACCATGCCCAAGACGCAAACCTCTCAGTCCAACCAGTTCCAAAGTTGAGACATATGTTGGGTAGAGCACAGAGGTTAGTGCTTGGCCTCTGTCACCCCAGGCAAAACATGGTCCATCTTTGAAGCCTCAGCTTGCTGCTCTGTAGAATGGGGCTAAGAGTTGTAGGTATTAGATCCATAGAACTCATGATACATACGAAGTGCAATGCTAGAGAGATGTGAGTGCTCCTAGTGTGAGGCCACAGGAGCATCACCATCCACATGAAAGGGAACACTAGCTCCAAAACTGAGGGAATGATATAGTTTACAGAATAAATTGCATCCCGTTTACAGCCCAGAAACTTCCAAAGGTCTCTCTTACCAGTAAGTTTGCTTTGGTCTCAGCATTTCTGTTCAAGTCAAGCAGGTCCACCTGGAGGTTTACACCAGGAAACGATGTAGGTGTGTGGTCACTAAACAACAAAAAAGGGCCATTACGGTGGACTTTTTTTATTTGGATACACGAGGCTCATTCCAATGTCAGGACCTTTGCACATACTGTCTCTGCTGCCTGGGACACAATTCTATTAACCTGGTAAGATTCCATTTCTCTTTCAGGTGTCAGCTTAAAAATCGCTTCTGGGAAATCCTTCCAGATCCCTCTGGACTTAGAAAAATTCCCTTGCTGAATTATACTACAGTGCCTTGTAATTTTCTTTTATTGAAATTAGCATGCTTATATTTTCTTTTTTCTTTTAAGATTTTATTTATTTGACACAGAGAGAAAGACAGCGAGAGAGGGAACACAAGCAAGGGGAGTGGGAGAGGGAGAAGCAGGCTTCCCACGAAGCAGGGAGCCCTGTGTGGGGCTTGATCCCAGGACCCTAGGATCATGACCTGAGCCGAAGGCAGACGCTCAACGACTGAGCCACCCAGTCGCCCCAGCATGCTTATATTTTCAAAGAATTTGTCTTTTTCATCTAAGTTGTAGAACTTATCAGTATAAAACTCTTCATATTCCCTTATTATCCTTTTAATGTCTGTAGGGTCTGTGGTGATGTCCCCTCTTTCAATGGTAACGTGTTTTTTCTCTTTTCTTGAATAGTCTTGCTAGGGGTTAATCAGTTTTCTTTCTTTTTTTTTTTTTTACAAGGCTCTCCACACCATTCACAGAGTTTTTTGTTGTTGTTGTTGTTGTTTTTATTTGAGAGAGGGAGAATGAGAGACAGAGAGCATGAGAGGGAGGAGGGTCAGAGGGAGAAGCAGACTCCCCGCCGAGCAGGGAGCCCGATGTGGGACTCGATCCCAGGACTCCAGGACCATGACCTGAGCCGAAGGCAGTCGCTTAACCAACTGAGCCACCCAGGCGCCCGTTAATCAGTTTTCTTAACCTTTTTAAAGTACTAGCTTTTGGCTTTGCTATTTCTATTTTCTGCTTTTGATTTCATTGCTTTTTGTCTTATCTTTATTTTTTCTTTCTTCTATTTACCTTATGTCTCATTGGCTCTTCTTAGCTTCTCAAGATGGAAGCTTAGATCATTGATTTTAAAATTTATCTCCAAACATAAGCATTTAAAGCTATCTATTTCCCTCTAAGTACTGCTTTAACTGCATCTCACACACTCTGACATATTGTGCCTAAGTTAGAAATATTTTATTTCCCTTGTGAATTTTTTTATGACTCATACATTATTTAGAAATATGTCAATTTCCAAACATTTGGGATTTCTTGATAGCTTATTGTTAGTGATTTTTTATTTAATTCCTTTGTGGCCAGAGAATGCACTCCATATACTTTCAATCCCTTGAGATTTATTGATACTTTGTTTAATGGCCCAGCATATCTTGATCCACATTCTGGATGCACTTGAAATGAAAGTATACTCTGCAGTTGCTTGATATAATATTCTGTAAATATCCACTAAATTAGGTCATGGCGATTTACAGAACATGCTTGAATTTATCAAAATCATCCAGCTCTCTTCCTTCCAGGGGGGCAGGGGTGGGTCTGTGGTGTCTCCTGTAGTTTCCCAATGCCTACCCCAGTGGTTGGCACACAGTGAACCACAACTATTTCTTGATTGTCTAACCTGAAAGCCAAAAAATATTCAGTCTATTTTTGTTGCTCTCTCCTGGGTGTGTAAGATAGAGTTAAGAGAGATTCCTGGCTTATTTATTCCACCAACTGCTTACTGAGTTCCCCGAAGGGCTCGGAACTGTGCTGAGTGCCAGGGACACCATGAGGAATAAAAAAACTCCTGCCCTCAGGATGCTCAGAGTTTGGTTAGAGAGTCAGACAAGCAGACAATGAGTCCAGTTGGTGAAGTGCTCTAATGGAGGCAGTCACCAAGGGGAGCTCTTAACCTAGCTTCTTCTGCAGGTTCGGGGAGGGCTTCTGGGAGGAGGAGTTATCTGACTCCATAAGCCTGAGAAGGAAACAAAGGAAAGGACATTCTAGGTAGACATGGTAATATGCGTGAAAGACCTTGGATGAATGTGAGGACTTCATCCTGGCAGCATTTAACCTGGTGCAGGAATCTATAACCTGGAATTTTGAATTCAGAAAAACAAACACACTTACCTGTATCAGTCTGCCATCATACAGATAGCACCCAGAAGAGGTACAACTAGGACTCATGGGCAGGGTGAAGGGACATCAGCAAGGGATGGCGACTCCCCGGGGTCAGGAAGTTATTACCAGCCTGGGCCTAAAGTTGCTAGGGAGGGAGTTGTGGAATTTGTGGAGAACTGAAGTTGCAGGCTTTGGTAGAGACATGCAGACCAACAGAGTGGGAGCCAGAATGTATATACCTACACCCTCCTCTCCTCCAGCCCTCAGATCTCCCTACCAGGGCCAAACCCAACTGGATGTGAGAGGAAAAGGCAGCTAAGTTGACCCGCTGTGTAGCGATCAGCTTCCAGGGGGCACAGAGCAGTGCAGGAAAGGGTGGAAAAGGGCTCTGGTAGGGCACACAAAGACTGCCCAGCACACACTCTCAGAATGTTTTGGTTATAATTGCAGGGGATTCCTGGCCTCGAGAAGCTAGTCGGTAAGCTCCCTGTGGTTGTAAGAACCCCAGGCCCACTGTAGGCCAATGGTACAAAGGGAAGATGGACACTACAGGATGTGGCCTTTGTAGCTGCTGTCTCTTCTCTGGCTACTCCCCTCCCTACACTCTACTTCCTTTCTGCCCCTGGAACCCTCGGAGTGCCTTCTGACCCCAGAGCGTGGTTCTGCTTGCCTCCTCTCCCTTCTACTTCCAGTCTGAGATTCAATGCCGCCTCCTCAGGGAAGTCTTCCCTGACTCCACCCAGGTGAAACGAGCCATCCACCTACCACCTAACATTTACTCTGTGGTACCCATAACTACCTGCAATCATCTTAGTGCTGAACTTGCTTGTGTATGATCTGCCTCCTCCACTGGGATGGCAGCTCCATGAGGACATAGAGTCTGTTTCATTCACAGCGTCAGACACTCAGTAAGTATTTGTTGAACACCTGGACAGGGGATAGTTTTTGTTTAATTGAAGGAAACAAGAAACAGAAACTTCGAGGAACTGAGCAAACACAGAATCAAGTTTATCCGAACTCTGGAAAACAGGGAAAGGTTTGTGCCAACCAAGTGAACACCGAATCAAAATGAAAAGGAAACTTGAACATGGCAGGAAAGCTCTGTGGTGTTTTCCCCACCCTTTCCTCATCTCCTTCCCAGCGTGGTGGAGGTCTTGAAGACAGCAGCCTGTGTCCCCAGTATGGGGCTCCCACAGCCGGTTGCTGAGGTTGGCAGTATGGCATTTGTCTGTTCTAACATGTCTGGGGGCTACCTGTGACACTGACTCAAGGTGCTTGTCTGTTGAACTCAGAATGCATTCCTGGAAAACACTGTAAGGCAAAGGGAAAAACCCACAGCCACCTGGGGCAAAATATCATAATCGAGGACAGCATTAACCAGTGATTTTACCAGCAAAAATGAGCTTACTCAGGAATAGCAGAGAAATGCAACTGAGGACAAGCTAGCTGCGGCAAAAGCATGGGCAGGTCTGGAGAACAAGAGGAACACTTTTATAGAGGAAAGGGGAAATCCGGAAGACTGTTATGAACAAGAAATCCATTGGACTAAGCTGGGAGTTGGAAGTGTAGTGATGTTTCATTGGTTGAGTGGTGTCAGTCTCTCATTGGCTGGGCTGTTACCAGGAGGAGAAAACCTTTCTTCCTCCTGCTGAGGTAGTAGTCAGGTAGGAAAGTATCAGTTTGGAAGGTACATCTCTTCAGGTGCGGTCTGCAATTGTCAATGAGTGGTAGGGTGTGAGAGCTCCCCCTTCTATCTCCTGATTTCATTCTAAAGGAGGTTTCCTTTTATTAATTTTCACAACAATGGACATGCCAAAAGTTGGAAGAGCTGGGGTGAGAGTTTCTCTGGGTAATTAGGGCATTCAGAAGCACCCATATATACTGGGGGATTTAGAAAGCAATGTGCATGCCCAGGGCAGGACAAATGCTCAGAAAAAACCTGAGAAGACCCTAAGCTTTCATCTCATGCTTATCTCTAGGCTCAGCGCAAACAGGAAGTGAAGGCTAAGGCAAAATTGTAAATGACCTGGAAAAGCATTGAAGGAGTGCCCCAGAATAAATCTGGGGAAAATTTTTTGTTTCTTTTTTCTTTCTTGAGTTTGGTCTCTATAATATATAAATAACTCTTATAACTCAGCAACAAAACGACAACCCAATTTTAAAATGGGCAAAAGACTTGAACAGACATTTCTCCAAAACAAAGACCTACAAATGGCCAACAAGCACCTGAAAAGATGCTCAACATCATTAGGGAAATGCAAATCAAAACCACAACGAGATACTACTTCACAACCATTAGGATGGCTATAATAGAAATAAAATAGAAAATAGCACGTGTGGATAAGGATTTGAAGAAATTGGAGCCCTCATACGGGGTTGGTGGGAGTACAAAATGGTGTAGCTCTGTGCTCAGGGAGGAGTTTGCTGGAGATTCTTTCCATCCCCTCCTTTCCCCTCTGCTCCTTCCCCCACCCCCACTCTCACAGGCTCTCTCTAAAATAAATAAATAAAATCTTAAAAATATATATATATATTTTTAAAGATTTTTATTTTTTGACAGAGAGAGAGAGACAGCGAGAGAGCGAACATAAGCAGGGGGAGTGGGAGAGGGAGAAGCAGGCTTCCCGCCGAGCAGGGAGCCCGATGCGGGGCTCCATCCCAGGACCCTGGGATCATGACCTGAGCCGAAGGCAGACGCTTAACGACTGAGCCACCCAGGCGCCCCAAAATATATATATTTTAAGAGAAATTAAAAATAAATAAAAGATCCCCCAGTCTCCACCCTTCAAAATGTCCAAGCAGCGAGTCTGAATGACAGAAAACTGGGAGTGAAAAGGAACACTGACTGCACACAAACTTTGACATAACAAGGTGGTGTGACTTCCTCAAGTCCTCCAAAAGCAGGAAAGAGCTGACAGCCACCAGCTGTATTCGAAGAGTAATTATCACCAACTGCCAACCATTCCAGGCCCTATCTTTAAAGACTCAAAATTTCCCTCTATAACATTTTTTTCTTATGTTTAGACAGAATCACCAAGTAGAGTCCATTTCTCCAGTGACTTCTTTGGTTATCTGCCAGCTTCCCAGAGGGTGGTCGCCTCCAAATACTCTTAAGCCAGACTGAGGGAGAAGAGGTTACATGGTGGGCTGCCTAGTGGTGGGCGATCAGCCTGGAAAATAGCAGATAATATATACTGAGGGTCTATAATGTGCCAAGCGCTGAACAAGCATTATCTCAATCTTCACAACAGCCCAATGAGGTAGGACAAGCATCACCCCATCCTACGGATGAGGACACGGTGGGATGATTTCAAGCCAAGGGTCGGGGGGTAGGGTGGGGGTGGGTGGGCTTGAACTAGGCTTCGTGGCTCCCAGGCCCACGCTCTCCTGACTCTTTTAAGCACCTGGCTGTCATTTTTCCTGCCCTGGGTCACATGAATTACTCTGTTTACCTGCTGGCTCCCCGAGTTTGAGAACTTTGGGGTGCAAGGTGGGCCATGCCCCTTTACGGACTCCACGCAAGGAAACGGAGCGCCATGGGCAAGGCTTCCTCTCGATTCCCACAGCCGCCCTAGGGGGCGGTCGTTCCATCACCCCAACTACAACTGACAAAGTGAGGACCCTAAGGAGCAAAGGGAATGAAGGGTCAGGCGGCGCACCTGGAGCCACGCACAAGGAACACGAAGGCCCCACATCACTGCGGAAGGGTCTCCTTCTCGCCCCAGCCGAATCACTTTACACGTGAACCCTACAGGTCGCGTACGCGTCCAGCCTTTAACTTAGGGCCACCCCACCCACACCAGACCGCTCAACAGCCGTTGCGCGCAGCGTACTCTCGGAAAACCGCAGGGAGGCGCCTTAGAAGGTCCCGGCCCGCCTCCGATTTAGTCGTCTTAGCTTTTGCCTAAGAAACATGCGCCATCATAGTACCTATTTTTGCCATTTTCCCTCACCATCTGTTGATGGTGACTAGAGCTAGAGGCTTTTCAGGAAAAAGTCTCCAGAAGGCGGAGTGTTTTAAGGCACAGAAGGCATTCATTCGGGCAGCTAAGCTCTCAGGGGGCCCTTCACTTTTTCTCTCCGTTCGCTTCACACACCGCCGGCAGGAGCGGCTGCCAATGAGCTCCGCCGAGTCGCAGAGGGGGCAGGGCCAGCTCTTAAAGGAACCGCGACCTCTTAGCAGACCGTAGGGTGACCCGGATGATGGCGGCCGGAGCGGCCCTAGCCTTGCCACTGTGGCTACTACTGCTGCCGGTGGGGACTGGGGGGGCAGGGCCCCCACCGATCCAGGACGGCGAGTTCACGTTCCTGCTGCCTGCGGGGAGGAAGCAGTGCTTCTACCAGTCTGCGCCGGCCAACGCAAGCCTCGAGACCGAGTACCAGGTAGAGGGTCCCGAGTCGGGGAGCAGACGAGCCAGCGGAGCCAGGACGAGGGGGCGTGGCCAAGCAGCTGAAGCGAGGCATAGATTAAAGAGGGAGGGGGAGGAGCCGGTGCGTAAGAGCGCGGGGGCGGAGCTAGGAAGAGCGAGCCGGAGCTGGTGGAGAAGGTGCGTGGGAGCGGAGGGGATGGGAATAATGGCAGGAGGCGGGGTTAGAGTGAGACCGCCGGGGGGCGGGGCCATCGGTTATAAGAGAGCGCCCCTCACAGGGCAGGAACCTCACGAGTGGGCGTGGCCAAAGGTTGGCTTCGCTGACTGGGGGAGTTGGTGGGCGTGACCAAGATGCGCCACTAAAAGGGCGAGGTCAACATGAGGATGTCTCCGGGGTTGGGTTAAGGAAAGCGGGGCCCTGTCTCCTTACTTGGGGTATGGCCAGGTAAACGTCGATCAAGGACTTACGACGGGGGCGTGACCAGATGAAAGAGCCAAACCCAGAGCTGTCCTATCAAGGAAGACTGAGCCAAGGCAAGGGGCGCGGTCAGAGGGACAGGTGGGGCAGGACCAGGTTACAGGTGTAGGTGTCAGCGCTCAGGTAGGCCCCTGGTGGTCCTGGATGGGTCTGTGCGGGTTGGTCCAGCCCTGGCTTTCCCTGGCAGGTGCCCTTGGCCTACCCCTAGCCCTCCACCCTCTTACCTGTCCCCCCAGGTGATCGGAGGTGCTGGACTGGACGTGGATTTCACGCTGGAGAGCCCTCAGGGCGTTCTGCTGGTCAGTGAGTCCCGCAAGGCAGATGGGGTGCACACGTGAGTTAAGTCCCACTGTCTGCCTGGGTTTAGTTTCAGCCCTGCCCCTCCCCAGTGGCCTCAGGTTACCACCTTCCCTGCCTCTCGAAGTCTGGCTGGTGGGCCACTCTGGGTCATGTGTGTCTGTGTGTCTTTCTCCCAGGGTGGAGCCCACGGAAGCTGGGGACTACAAGCTGTGCTTTGACAACTCCTTCAGCACAATCTCTGAGAAGCTGGTGTTCTTCGAACTCATTTTTGACAGCCTGCAGGATGACGAGGAGGTCGAGGGCTGGGCAGAGGCTGTGGAGCCTGAGGAGATGCTGGATGTCAAGATGGAGGACATCAAGGTGCGCCCAGGCTGAGCCAGGGCCACTTGTCCCAGATCTCTGGCTTTGGGCAACAGTGCTTCCCTATTCTTCCACCTTGCCTGGGGTCCGCATCTGCCTGACCCAGCGCCCCTGGCGTCCCCACCTTAATTAGAATAGTAGTCGCTCACAGTTAAAATAATGCGCATTTCTAGGTGTAGGAGTTTCAAGGGCTTAAATAACTAATGAAATCTCCATATGAGGTAGGGAATGTGTTCCCAATGCCCCATTTAAACTGAGGCACAGGATGGCTAAGTAACTTTCCTAAGGCCACATAGCAACTGGCAGATCCAATATTTGAACCCAGGCAGTCTGGCTTTAGCAACTGTGCTGTTAACCACTAGTAAGTACATTCTTTTAAAATTGTTTGTTTGTTTATTTATTTATTCATGAGAGTCAGAGAGAGAGATAGAGAGAGGCAGCGGCAGAGGGAGGAGCAGGCTCCCCGCCTAACAGGGAGCCCGATGCGGGACTCGATCCCAGGACCCTGGGATCGTGACTTGAGCCGAAGGCAGACGCTTAACCATCTGAGCCACCCAGGCGCCCCACTAGTAAGTACATTCTTTATACTTATTTAGGCACTCAATTCCCACCTCAATTCGGAGGAAACTGAGGCCCAGAGAGGTTAATTAACTTGCTGAAGGTCACCCAGCTAGTCAGCACAGAGAGAGGATTCAGACTCAGGCAGCCTGGCCACAAAGTCTCCTCTCAGCTCTCTCCTCCCAAAACAGGCTCACCCCATCCCCCATTTTATTGGCCCTTGCTCCCCCAAGGGCGGAGGCCTGACCCTGCCCCTCTCTCTGCTCCACAGGAGTCCATCGAGACCATGAAGACCCGGTTGGAACGTAGCATCCAGATGCTGACGCTCCTGCGGGCCTTTGAGGCACGTGACCGCAACCTGCAGGAGGGCAACCTGGAGCGGGTCAACTTCTGGTCTGCGGTGAACATGGCCGTGCTGCTGCTGGTCGCCGTGCTCCAGGTCTGCACGCTCAAGCGCTTTTTCCAGGACAAGCGCCCTGTGCCCACTTAGCCCCAGAAGGAAGACAGGGAAAGGAGGGGCAGCAGGGCACATGTGTGTGAGATCTGGGGGTCCTTTCCCCAAACTTAGTTTCCTATGGGAGGGGAGGCCACGCAGTCATGGCCCTGAGGTCCTCGTGTGTCTCCTCCCTGCCAGGGGCCAGGCTGGAAACCCTTGTTGGCTTGGCTGACAGGCCTGGGCCCTCCAGGAGGGACAGCTCAGTGGCTGCACCTGCTTTCCTGGAAATTGTGCATGGACGGGGAGGGCACTGCAGCATTTGCATGTGACCCTTGGATATTCTGGCCCCTTGCCGTGTCCCCTCTGGTAAATGTGTGTGCCTTAGCCTGAGTCCCAGCCTGCACAGGCACTGCTTGGTGTGGGATGGGGCCCAGGAAGCAAACTCTCCCTTCCCTTCCCTCCTGGCCTTCTGAGCCAGGGTACGGTGGGAGGGGGCTTGCTGCTTGTGGGACCCCATGCCTTCCTTTGTCTCCCTGTCACCCCACCAGAGGCCTGTTGCTGCTGCTGGGGGTGGCTCCCAGGCTGGGGGCAGCCTGCTTATGCCAGGGGCCGGGAAGGAGACACGGCTGCAGTGTTCTTGCCAGGACAGTCACTTTATTGAGAGGAAGGAGCCCAGCCCCTCAGCCCAGCACGGGGTGGGCTCTGTGTGAGGTCTGGTAACAGAACTCTAGGAGTGGGGGGCTGCATGACCACCCGCCCCTCCTGCTCTCTCTGCAGAGGCCCAGGGCAGGGCTGAGGGGTGGCCCAGCCAAAGCTTGCGCAGGAGCCTCACGGAACAAAGGGCGGTCTGGCCTGGGCACTGGAGTCAATAAATTATGGTCAGAAAATCACAGAGCCTGGTGACTGGGGCTCAGGGACACCAGCCGGGACAGACCTGCCCCCAAGGGGGCAAACCAGGCAGGCGGGAGGGGTCTCCCACGAAGCTCAGAAGAAAGGCCGGGCGGGAGCCGATGGAGGTGGTCGCCTGGGCACAAGAGAAAAATCAGAAAGCAAAGTTTAACTGTGACCCGGGCTGGGCCAGAAGGCCTTGGACCTGGGCGGAGTCCTTAGGACTGCAGTGGTGGGGAGGGGGGCCGGGGCTCCCTCTCCCCTGTGTGATTCTGCTGCCCACCCCAGGCCTGTGTCAGGGGCTACAGCCAGGCCCCTGGGTTAGTATGTGTGGAGGGGGAGTGCCGAACATTTGTCCCCACTCCTGATGTGTTAAGGAAAGCAAGAGATTTTCCCTCTAGAACGTGGTTGCCTCTGGAAGAAGTGCTCTCCCCAAGAGCAGAGTCCCAGGAGTGAGGTGTGAGCGTGCCCATGGTAGGAGGGGAGGTGGGGTCTTTGTCGGAGGCCTGCCGGGGGAAGGCGAGCAGTCCACATGCTCAGCCTGAACGCCAACACAAAAGGCCCACACAGCAGCCACCAGAAGCTTCTTCCCTTTATTTTAGTTTATTAATAGGATACAGAGTGCAGGCACTTACAGTGGTCAAACCGAGCGAGGAGCGAGCAGGGTCTGCTCGGCGATGGGCCACCTGGGGCCCACCCCATCGGGGAGGCCTGGGTGGGAGCCAGGAGCCCCTCACAGCCTCCCCACTCACTCAGCCCTGAGCCCGAGGCACCCTGGGGACCTAGGAGGAGGAGGGGACCCAGGAAGGAGAGAGCGAGGCCGGGAGGACGGAGGCTTCCGGACCCGGCGAAGGCACCTCCGGCAGCCGAGGCTCGGCCGTGTGGTTAATACGGCCAAGGAAGGAATATTTACAACTTGCAGGGCGGGCAGCGTGGGGCTTGCTGGGCCTGGCTCACTGCCTGGAGCTCCCGCTGCTGAGAAGTGGACATGCTCCTTGGGCCCCAGGAAGGGCTGGGGGGTACAGGCACTCTTGCTGCCCCAGTTTCCAGAAGGCCTGATCTCAGGCTTTCCTGGCCAGAGAAGCCCCGGGTTGAGTCCCCCCAGCCCCAGCCTGAATCCTCATTCGAGAGGGCGCCCAGGGTGCATTCCCTCCTCAGCTACCCTGTGGCTCCATCCCCCAAAGTGCAACACCCCAGCTCCTGCCCTTGCCCCAGGGCTCCAGGGCCCCTTCGTTCAGTGCTGTGTCCAGCTGGGGATGGGGGCCAAGGTTAGGGAAGAGTCAGGGGGCTGCCCACAGGGAGCCTGGTCCTGGCACGTGGATGACAGGGCCAGGGGCAGTGGAGGGGCCCCCAGACCACCGAAGCTCCTGCACGGCGGGTGTGCGAAGACCCCCTGAGAACACGCCACCCCGGCGGCCTAGTCGAGCAGGGATGGCTCGGCTGGGCGGATAATGGTGGGCCGGCTGGGCGCAGCAGGGGGTCTTCTGCTGCAAAGAGAATAAAGACAGACGGGGAGGGGGAGGGGGAGATGGCAGTGAGGCCCTAAGTAGGACGAGGGAGGGGACCCAGGCCCCACCGCCCCCGCCCCAGGGTGCTGCCTGATGCCCCAAAAGCTGCTAGAGTGCCACGGAGGAGCTGGAGCTGTGTGGCCCCGGCTGAGTCCCTGCCCAGCCTGGCCCCTGGGTTCCTCACGGGAGAAGGGTGGCGAACGGAGCCTGGCCTGCAGGGCGGGGTGAGGAAGGGCAGGGGTGTGCGACGGCTCACGCGTGTGTCCTCAGTAAGGAAACAAAGGTCAAAACTAGGAGAAGGGGCCCCACATGAGGAGTCCCAATCTGTGTGGTGGGCCACCCGCTCAGGCAGAGGCCAGGCCTGGGAGCCCCAGTGTCACCCTGACTCTCCACTGCTCTGTGACTTTGGGCAAGCAAGTTGGCCTCTCTGGGCTTCAGTTTTCACACCAGCCACATGCGGATGAAGACTCCATTCCCCGCAGGGCGCGGGCAGTGAGGGGGCCGTCCAGCCTTACCTGGGCATCACTGCCCGTCCAGCCTTACCTGGGCACTCCAGGGGGGATGCCGGGTGGAATCCGAGCCGGCCGAGATGGAACCTGAGGCGGGGCCGAGAAGGGGTCATTGTTGGCAAACACGCTCTGGGGTCCAGGCCTGGACGGGATGGGGGGCGCGGCGAAGGAGGCTGCTGCCCCCACTGGCACGGGAATCAGAGGGGGCCCTGGGGTTGGGCCTCTCACTGCTGGCGGCCGGCCTGGGGGATGCGCGCTGGACATGGGTCGGCGCTGTGGAGTGGGGCTGTGGAGGAAGGAGAGAGTGTGAGCCGGAGAAGGGGGTGGGGAGCACCAGCCTTGCCGGGGTGCCTGTGGAAACCCGAGGGGGCCGGGATGTGGCGCTGGCTGGGGCCCCTCCATCCACCCCGCCCCCACCTGCTTAGCAGTGGCTGTGCCCCCACCTAAAACCTGCACCAGGGCCTCCCTGTGCCTCTGGTTCAGCCACCAGGGGCTCCTGCTTCCCTCTGACGTCACTCCCAGGGCCACTTCCCTCTCACCAGCCCTGCCAGGGCCTGCCAGCTTCCCTGCCTCTTCCAGTCCACACTCATTCGAACCCCTGCCCTGGGCACCCCACAGGCTGCCCCCCCGGGCCGGAGCACCCACTGTTCCCTCTCCCTAAGTAACTCCATGGCTCCTTGAGGCCTCAGCAGGGCCGGCACCTTCTAGGAGATTCCCCTGACCCACCCTCTGTCCTCCCGCCGCCTGCCCTGTCACTGGTCGGGTGTCCCTGCCTGAGGCTCTGCGTTGCCCCTGCCGGCGTCTCATTTCCATCCGCCAGCTCTGAGGTGGTTGGGGGGGGCCGGGGACAGGCCAGTCATGCCCTCCAGCTGCTGCTGCAGACCCTCCCCAACCTGCCATTCTCGTCTGCGCTCTGTGCTCCAGGACGATGACCCCATGGCCCCCACTGCCCCGGCCTCTTGCCCTCTCTGGCTTCTGCTTGGGCTTCACCAATGGAAAACACCAGGAGTCAGATGGGCCCTCCACCCAACGCTTCTCTCTCCTTGTCGCTTCAGGCCCAGGCCGGGGAGCAGCGACCACTGTGGCTCAGGCCCCTTCACCCCACCCGCCCCGGGGCCGGGCCCTGATGGGACACATGGGGGGACCGGCGGGCAGCAGCCTCCGCAGGCTACAGCGGCCCAGGCCTCTCGGACCTGTGGCTGCCAGTGCTCTGGAGCCAGGTGTCATCGACGGGCGGGGGCACGGGCGTGGACACGGTGCTGGTGCTGATGTCCCCGATGATGTTGAGGGCCTCCTTGAGCGCATGGTACATGCGCAGCATGTCGTCCCGCCGCTGGGCCTGGTCGGCTGACTCCTCCATGAGGCTGCTCTGGTCCGCCGAGGAGTACAGGTAGGCCAGCAGCTCATGGTGGATGAAGGCCTTTGTCTGGGGGGCAAGGGGCAGAGAGGTCAGGGCGTCCCCCCACACCTGCCGTTACGACAGGCTGCAGAAGCATCTGCCACACTGGGTGGGCTGTCTGGTCTTTTTTTTTTTTTTTTAAAGATTTTATTTATTTAATTAACACAGAGAGAGAGAGACAGCAAGAGAGGGAACACAAGCAGGGGGAGTGGCAGAGGGAGAAGCAGGCTTCCTGCCGAGCAGAGAGCCCGTGGATCCTGGGATCATGACCTGAGCTGAAGGCAGTTGCTTAACCAACTGAGCCACCCAGGCGCCCCAGGCTGTCCGGTCTTTAACTTTATTGTGCAATGTGTACAATGTTTGAAACACACGTGAGCTGTCTGCCAAGTCTCTCGGGGGCCCCTTCACGTGTCCTTCCAGCCCATTCCACGAGACGCTTATTAAACTCGAATCCTGCCTCTTTTACTGCTGTCTTTCCTCCCATTTGTTGTCTTCAAGCTGGCTTTCATTAAAAACTCCTAGTTTCTGTTAATTTTATAATTTGTTCCTTCCTAAAAGCTCCTACAGGATACAGGAGTTTTTTCAGTGACTTTTATGGAGTTTCTAGGTACCTGTTTGTGTGTCCAGGAGCTTCTCCAACTAGGACCAAGTTTCCTATTCCTTTTCAGTGTTTCACACCTCTAAATGATTTTTCTGATTGAACTGTACTAGCTAGTAACTCTACAAGAAAGTTTGCTTGTTTGTTTGAAGATTTTTATTTATTTATTTTAGAGAGGGAGAGAAGAGTGCGCGTGAGCAGGGGGAAGAACAGAGGGAGAGAGGATCCCCAAGCTGACTCCCCGCTGAGCACAGAGCCTGACGTGGGACTCGATCCCAGGACCCTAGATCATGCCCTGAGCCGAAATCAAGAGCCGGACGCTCAACTGAGCCGTCCAGGTGCCCCTAAAGAAGGTTTTAAACACAAGTGGAGAGGGCCAACTTGTTCTGGATTTTAGAGGGGATGCTTTCCGAGCTTTCCCCTTCAGGGCAAGAGTGGTTTTCAGACTGAAACACACAGACTCATAACAAAAGACTCCTACCATTGTCTTTTTTAAGAATAGATGTTGACTTTTCCCAGATGAACTTTCAGCATCTGCAAAAATGACCAGGCTTGAGAGTTCATTTCCCTCCCTTTTTAGA